CTACTGACCGTAGCATCACGTGCAGCTGGTACCATCTTTATCGCGTACGCCTTCATTTTCGATCGCGAAGACTTCATTGGAAAACGAAGTTGTTAATTCGAAAAGAGAATCCGTTGGCGTGGCAGTCGGCGATCTCTTCTTAAAGAACGACTGATTTTGTAGTTTAATTGAACGGGAGAAAGGCCGACGAATATGGAAATACGCGAAGACTGTCGTTTTCAAACAGCTTCGGGAATTTAAACTGTCAAGATAAGGAAAAGTGAATCGGCCGCTTTCACGGTTGTTTATATTCTATTTGGACTCGTCGATTAAATGAATGATCCAATTAGTTCAATTCAACTACTCGCTGGATGTGTACGGTATTTCCATTAAGGATATATTCTTAACGTTCCGGCGTCAAATATCTTGAACCGGGATCGGTTGGCAGCATGAACGAATTAAATTTCATTATTTTCAGCGATCCGAAAGTGTCAAATATTCTGTTGAGTGAAAATACTTCTCGAATCGAGAAATTTATTTGCTACGAGAATAATCTCAGGATATTTACATCACCCCGTCCCCCTTAAACGAGGGTGACGACAATTACGATGGACATTTATTATAAATTTTAATTACAATAGATTTTTAATAGAAGTTTAACTTTAAATAGAAATTTTTAATTGGAATGAATCTGATAGAAATTTAGATCCTAATCGATTTTTAATGCGCATGAAATTGATTACAGTAGATTTTTAACGTAAAATTTAATTACCGTGAATTTTTCGTATAAATTTGAATTATAGTAGATTTTAATTGAATTTATTTATCACGTTTGCAAGAATCGTAAAGTGTATCCAATAAAAAAATGCGCGAACTATTAGAGAATGAATAAAGTAAAAGAAAATCAATAAGTTCTCGCGCAAGTTTAGAGCGCAGCATCGAAAATCGTCAGAGCACTGACCTCTCCTCCAGAAATAGTAAAACGATAATTTAATTAGACTAGAGCGAGACAAGATATTTTAGAATTTCGATTAAGGGGGATCATCGAACCTGTTACACTTCGCTAACATGTATTGACTCGCAGTTTCACAATCCGCCGAAGTATACGCGATGTGAATAAATTTTGCATATTTCATTCCAAATTAAAATTTTATTCGAATTTAAATTGGAACTTCGTTTTAATTTAAATTGGATTTTTATATCGATTTCAATCAGTAAGCAATTTACATTTAAATAAATTCCAAGTTAAACCGCCTCACCAAAAATTAAACGAATTTCAAATTATATTTCCGAAATGAAATAATACATATCCGCTTAATTATTGCGTGATTTAGAATCATAATTAAGTAATAAAATAAATTAAGATCTTAGATAGAACTCTCATTGGTTTCAAGATTTCAAATCGTATTTTCACGACTTAAATTTTCTCATACTGAGCTAAATATGCAAGTAAGTGACCGTTTGCACCATTCAATCCTTTTGTATTACTGCTTGTACGAAAATTCATTAAATTAAATCAATCTAATAGATCGATATATATCCCAAAACTATTTTTGGAAAATAGATCGTCAAATTTTTTATTTAGACGAAAATGTTCTAAAGGATGAAAAGGAAGCTTTTAACGCGAGATCATAAATATTCGTTTAAACGCCTGCAACCAGTTGAATATGAATTCATTTTGCATGCTCCGAAAAGCCTGAAGTATTTTTGGCACTACTGAAGAACCAAATTGCTTAAAGTTGTCACAGAATTGGTGGTTAAATTGAAAACATAATATTTATCGTTAAATTCGATCAAATTATCCACTATATAGTTGAAACAATATGTAACTTTTTAGATTTTAAATTCAATTTTATCTCTCAGAAAGTAGCCATAATAATTTATAATCTGTAATCTATACAGTAAACGTTATCATAACGCTTTATTAACGCTTCGCGCTATTATAAACGCTATAATTATAAACGTTATTAACAGACTGTACAATGTATGCATTTATGAAAACAATAGGTAAAAGAGATATGGAACAGAAGACAGATTAAAGGCAATTGAGAATGTAGATGCATTATTCTCAACTTATTAGGATTGTCAATGAAAGATAAAAACTTCTAATTGGTTACTGCTTCTTACAATTCGTGCAGATATCTTTTATTTTGCACAAGGATCCGCAGTCTAGATATTAATGCCATATAAAAGTTATATTATAACTATGTAGTATCGCAAATTGTGAGGAAGTAATTTCATATTTTTGGATCATTATTGCTGTCGTATAACATAAAGATAAAAATGTTTGCATTTGATTTAAACATCTAATCGTAATATTATTTCTTTATTCTTTCAGTACACAAATATAAAAATACATAAAATTATTATCCTTCGAACCTTTCCATGTATTTTAATAACCTTGAATCTTGCGTCACCTTGCAACCGGCATAATGATATAAAAACACGCTTATGGTTCCCATGATATTAACTTAAAATTACGATAGCATTAAATTTATTTTTCTTATATTCGATTTACACTCTACCATCTTTTTTCTTCTCGAATTTATTGTCGCGACCATTACGTGGTTATTAGCATCAGGAACGGATATTTCGTTTGCTTATTTATTTATTTTATTTATTATTTTGTCAATTACGATTACTTGGCTACTTCATTAAATTTTTAATTAATCAATAATCGAAGATACCAAGCCATGAAGTTTTCATATATAAATTTATATCGTAAACATAAAATCATTTTATTTTGCCTTTATAATATTGTGTCTGTCGGAGGAATAATTTGAACAAGAAAATGTTTGCAAATTTAAAAATTTTGCAAGTTTGTTAATACATTAAAAAATATTTCATCTTTGAAGTTGAAAAATTGTAATTTGGCCACAAATTACCGTTTTCGGAGCTATCGCGCAATGAACACTACATGCACCGACAATTTTCTAATATTTCGATTAAAATCGAAAATCAACAGTTGGTAATTTTTGAAAACATTGTTCAAAAACAACAATAATATTATCCATAATTGAACAAATTATTTGGATTAATATAAAGTAACAATTTCTTCCGAAATTAATATATGTGTAAGTGAAAATTATCGAGCTACCCTTAAACGCGCAGCTCGGTCCTTAGAAAACCTGTTAACAGGCTTCCAATAAATAAAGCGTTAAATTCGATTAGGAACGGGAATATAATCACTTAAAATCCCGCGAATATTTCCATTGGGATTCATGCCAACCGCTTCAAGAATCGAAATCCTTGTAACTCAAAGTTGGTCGGACGACCGCGAGCGCATTCTCGACCTTCCCACTCCTCGCAGGACATTTGTTCCATTAACAGAGCACCTTTGATTTTCAACCCCGTCCTTCCTTGCCTCCGCAACCACGTACACGACGAATACACCGTGAATACACGCGGAACAGATACACGCATACATATCCGCGGGGACGTGCGCGACAATAGCAGTTCCGAAGTCGTTTTATTGTCACGCACTTATTGTCCATCGCGTATCGCGGCTCGTAAACAGTGTCTCACGTTGAAAGCATGCCTCGTGGGCAGATTTCGTAATCGCTTTGGAGGTTACGTCGAAGGTTAGCCCTCCGCGCGAGAGCTTTTCTCGCGTCGACACAAACGGTCCTAGCTCGGCGAGTTCAGAGTTGCGAGTTTCGAGTTGCGAGTATCCGAGTCGCGAATTTCGAGTTGCGAGTTCCGACGCATTGCGGACCTTCGGAACCGAAGGGCTGCTCCGATGCTAAACAAAGAGCACCGTAAACCAATTCCGTGCCTATTCCCAGACGCATCAATCTGTATCATTCCGGTTCAACCCTCGTCCCTTTCTCATTGTCCTAATTTCGTTTCTCTCTTACCGTCGAATTGACGGTGATACATCGATATAAAACGTAAACAGTTCAATTTGAAAATTTCACCTTTGATACAAGGAGCAACTGCGGCAAGTTTAAGTAAAACTGTTCGCAGCGTTCGCAAATAACAAACAACGTGATGAAAAATGGTGCGAAACGCACCACTCTTCTGCGGAAAATATGTCAAGTTAATGAAAGGGCGGAACGAGGACTAACCACTCGCATTCAAATGGCAACCCTGAGGCGCCATTCAACATTATCACGCCATATGTACAGTACTCTTGTTTAACCATTTTTGTTTATGAAATATTTTTGGGTCGGATGAAACATGTAGCGTCTATGAAATTTCCGGGATTTGGAGTCACGATAACTTTGAGTGCAAGCGGCTAAACATTTTACTGTGTTTTTATGAATCTTTGATATTTCCACTATGTTGTAAAAGGACAATATGCCAATACTTTTGCTGCCAGTCTGTTGCCATACCTATCAATTAACCCTCGTACGCCGAATCCAGGGTCACATTGACCCGCGAGCGATAAGACACCAGTTTTCAACACAAGCTTTATAACGAGACAAAGTTATCCTGCATTCGTTTCCCGGGGCCATCGAAAGCCATTCGTCTTCCGAGGGTGTACCGTATGAACGTATAGAAACGAGAATAAAATGTTTATCCTACGATTAACTAAAATCTATTTAACCGTTCCCTAATATTTATCTTAACTTCATTCAACTCACACATTCGATCGAACCTGTCACTAATTAAAATTATCTTTTTGCATGACAAATTTTCGAATCATGTTTTTCGATTGTAAATTTAAAACAATGTGAAATTATCCACAAATAGCGATATCCGACAGTACCGTGAAGCTAAAAGGGGATACCCGGCTAATTGGCACGAGGGTTAATTCGGAGCCGAACAAAATCGCTTTCGATCAAAGCGAGAAGAAACAACGAATCAAAAGAATAAAGGGAATAACAATATTATTTGGAGAGCTTTTTATCGCGTAAGGAACGCGGGTTTAAAATACCGGCGAGTCCTGTGCGAAGGGACTAAACAGTAAATCACTCGAATCGCTTCGCAACAAAGCAATAAGTAAGTAATAAAAAAGGGCTACTCGATGCCGACACAGAGACATAACAATCAAATTACTGTCGAAACGGAGTACTCACCGTCGGCGAACCTAACGAAGTCAAACACCGTAGCGTAATAGTACTCGCGGAACGGAGGGGGGTAAACGGACGACGATTGGCAAAGTCCAGCACAAGTTGCGATCAGTCACGATTTTTCAATCCTTGTCTCAGAGGGCACACCAAATGTCACCACTTGTAAATGCGAACGAAAACACGAGACGCGGCTCGACGAGATGAGACGGCACGACGCGGCACGATGGTTCCCGAAATGACAAATCGAATTGCGTCGATTCGATTGCGACTGCGAGCGCGAGGTGTCGAGGAATCGAAAGGAAAACACCGGGAATTTCGGGGAGTGGAATGAAACGTGAGCTTCGATCGATGTCCGTGCGCAGACTGCCCGCACCTCGCTGCTGCCGGGCGTTCGTCATGTTGCGGTCTTGTCCCGTCTCGCTCCCACTCTCGCTCCATTCCTCTTCCCCCACTAACCACGATTGCGCTGTATCGCTCTTCCCCTTCAAAATAAGACAAACCGCTGCCGCCGCACGGTGAAACGAAACACCTATTTTCTTGGACATCATCGACCAAAATTTATTGTCGAAATTTTCTACTATATTTTCATTTAATCTTTAATAACCGATCGCAGCATTGGGAAACAATTTTCATCCAAATGCATGCGGATCCGACTGTTAGCACAATTCCGGACTTTTGGTTTCCCAGTTGGTCCACATTAAATAATTATTGCACAAATTCTATTAGTTTATAAGTTCTCAATCGCTAACATATTACTAGGTATTTGATCGACAATGATTTCCTACAAGAAACATGCTGATTTAATTTAAATTTTGTCGTTTAACAACTGCATAAAATAGAAATCCATTGCATCAAATCCACTATCATAATTCATTGTACATTGTACAATGTAGATATGGAATACGTAAACTCGACATTGTAGGGGAAAACTTATCAGCGATCATGATAAATAAAGAATTATGCGAATAATTCGAATAATTCGATAAATAAAGAATTATTCGAATAATTCGAATAATTAGATAAATAATGAATTATTCGAATAATTCGATAAATAACGAATTATTCGAATAATACGGTAAATAAAGAGTTATTCGAATAAATTGATAACATAATTTGTGACGAATAATAAATATCCTATATCATATATCATAAAATAAATATCTCAGCTAAATATTTATTCGAAACGATTTGTATAATATTCAACTCTGGCCTGTAATTCGTATAAACAATCACGGAGCCGTAAACGTATTGTCGAATGTTCACGACGAGCGTTGCCGACCTCCATTCACCTAATCGTTCTGGTAATTGTTTAATAGAAGCTTGGACTGTAGAGGGGCCACCCCTTTCTCCTAAGGCGCTTCACATCGGTAAGAATTTAATGGCATGTGTTTACGCATTCCACTTTCCTCACGCGATCCCGTTAATTAGCCCGCGCAGCGCTTTCATTGATTAATGATGACTCCTCCCAGCCAGTTTTCATAATCACCGAGCTCCCTCGACCCACTCGACCCTCATTCGTCGGCAATCGAGGGATAAAAGGGTCGTTGAAAAAGAAATTGGCACGCTTGTCCCCGCGACCATTATTGCGGTTAAACGTTCAACCTCTTTACTTCTGGGGGAGAGGAGGGAGGAAAGCGGAGGGTGAAATCAGGTCTCATTCGTAGTTTAGCAAAAGTTATTGTCGCTTTTCCTATGTTGTGGCAACGTGTGACCAGCTAGCATGAAGCCAACGAATCGAACATCGACAAGAAACGGAACCGTTGTGAAAGAAGTATCGTCGCGCAGGAAGAACAGGGTGATAGGATACTTCCTAATGGCAATCGATGCGACCTGATTCTACCGTTTTGTGGGTTTTGATGAACCGACCTCTTTAGCCATGCATTCTGTGCTATAACTCACTTTATACTGAATTATGTTAATCGTTGGATCTGCAAAACGCATTTTTTTTATTTTCGTCATAGGCTCAATTTAAAAAGTTGAGAAACATGAGCTTTATTATTTCTTTTCTCATTCCAGGTAACAGCAAAATTTTTAAAAATAGTATTTTAATCATTTTCTAATAGGCTAGTCCTTCTGCCATCTAGAAAAAGAATTCAACTCATTTGGTCCAGTTTTAAAAAAGTTATACCGTTTTTAAAGTGGTCTTAAGTATATGGTTGCCATTCTATATGGTTTTCCGATCGATAATCTATGAACGTGGCTATTTCGACGAAATTAAATGTAAGTGGATGTTAGAAATTTTATATAACGGGAAATAATAAAAAGAAAATTATAAAATAATAATTTCCTGTTGAAGTTTGCTGCGGATTTTCTTCTTCCTGTAATTTGTAAATTTCTTTTGTTATTAGAATAGATATATGTACATTATAAAACATGATTGACAATTGAAAATTGGGTAAAAAAAAGTATTAAAAACGGCTAACATACTTTACTTGTTTTAATATTATTTGAAAATATTATGTTTGTAAATCGATAAATATATGTGTAGGATAACTTGCGAAGAAGATACGGAAAATGTTGAACAATGGCTTTGCTTGACTTTCACTCTTTACGTAATTAAGCAAGTTGATGTTTATACATATAATTAAGTAGTTTCGTGTGTAACTGCCGTTTCTTGTAGAGGAATTTGAATGATGGTATTTATGCTTTCTAGCTAATTTATTTAATCGGAACAATTAGCATTAACTTGTTCACACGCTACTCAACGATGCTCTGATTGTAGGTCATTTGTGCGTTTACAATGTAGAAAGTGATTTCCCCCGATGGAACAAATTCTTATGAATCTCATTTTGCATTCTTTAGATATTTTTAAATTGCGAGTTCATAAACAAATTTTAAACTTTCTAGTAAATGTAAATTGTGACAAATCTGTAATGTAAAGCCCACAATACAGATGCAGTCGTTCAGGATAATATTTATACAACTATTAAACAAAATATCTTTCTCCAAAGTCGACCAAATGGCTTGAATTGTTTTAGATATCAGACTTTGCTAGATAATGTCTCAATAAATTCATACAGAAACTGTAATTGGTTCGAATGACAAACAAAGTAAAAAAAAAACACGTTCTCAAATTTCGCTATCTGCGTGAACGACGAAAATTTAATCAATTTTAACGAAATTTTCAACATACATATAGATTAAGAAGATCTTCAAAATGCATTCTTTATATTGTTGTTATTGGATCAAATAGAAAAGCTGATAAAAGTCGTTTTTTTATTCTTTTTGGCATTCTAAAGGATTGCAAGAATTTTGTTAGACATTGTTTAGGAAATTAGTCTTTTTATAATTTAAAAAAAATTCAAGTCATTTTGGTACAATTTTAAAAAGTTATTCCGCTTGTAATTTCGCGTAACAATTTCACATCACTACTATTTATTAAGGCTAGTTCAATTTTTCATACTTTTCACGTATTCCCATCCTTACACATTTACGCGCGCGCGCGTTATCATTTTTTATAATTAAACAACTGAAGAGAATCGAAGGGTTCTGCAGAATTATAATGATATTCGTAGCAAAATTGTGTTTTGAGATAATCGGTTTCAAAATTTGATTTCATTAATAAAAGCGCAATACCAACAATTTTTCGGACGATCTGATTTGCACATTTTGATTGCACGTATTTATTTCCTCATCTTTTTATTTTAATTATGCACGTGCGTGAAGGGAAAGACCATTTTCGATTTCTCATTTAACACAAAACCTATGCTCGTTTCATAATCACACGGAACGGAAGGACAAAAAGATCTGCGTAACTCGTCCATGAAGAATTAAAACGGTAAATATTTCTTCGCTCCGCATTTAATAAAATAATCGCCGAGGCTGAACATTTTGCCCAAATGTTTGTGGTCTTTCAGCAAACTGTTTTGTATTAACGTAACGCTGAAAATTAAAAAAAAAGGGTAATAATAGTCATGACGTTGCAAATGAATTCTGTCGTTGATTATCCTGCGCACATAAAACCTGAAGTTATTCATTATTACTCTGCAGTTGCAGCGTTACGAATCCACTTCTCTCGCCTTGGTATAACAGAGAAAAATTCCGCGAGACATCCGCCGTAGCGTGCACTTGTCGCTGCAGCGCATTCAGCGCAATCAGTTACATGCTCGTTAAAGAGTAAAAGAAAACGATCGAAGGAAAAGTACCGCAGGGACAGAGAGGACAGATAAAAAACAGAAAAGTATGAGGGAACGTGGGATAGTTCCTGCTACACCGAGAAAGCATCTTCCGATGAGCCCGCATCATACCATCTTTCGCGTTACCAAGACATCCATTACATTTGAGCTCACGGGAGCGTCACCGATCTTTGGGATGAAGTTACCGTCTTTTCACAAAATCCTCTTATACCGTACGAAATGTTCGAGGCTTGTCAAGGGCTGGCTTAAAGGAATACAACCCCAAGCAATAAATGTTTAATCAGAAGCAATAGTAACGAATTAATTTGGAAAAAACGGGATTGTTCGCGCCTCAAATGATACGACATAAATATAAAGGTTTTGGCAATTTTAATTTGGACATGGTGCACAAAATAATAAAGCACTTTAAAATAATTAAGTACATATACGTGAAAAATAAATACATAACAAAGTAAGGTAGCAGTTTTGACGTAATATATGAAGAAATTAAATAAATCGTTCGATTCAGTTGTTGTTTATACAAAAAAACATGAAATTTGTGTGGATAAAATGATAAGACACTTTGAATATGAAATAACAAAAGCATTAAAATGAAATAAAATTACACAGTTTGTTTAAGTTTTAGTAATGTGTGGATTGTCCTTTACTTTGTACCACTTCAATCATTCTTCTTGGTAAACTTCTATACAGACCCCTTATACACTCTTGATCTAAACTTTCCCAAGCTTCTAAAATTGTAGATATCAATTCGGACACTGTATTATCGATAATGCTCGATCCCAAACATTCTCGATAATACTGAGGATAGGAGATCTTGCTAGCTAATTTAAAACCTTTACATATTCTGTTTCAAAATAATTTTTTACTATGCGACCGGTATGCACAGCTTCCTTATCTTGCTGAAATGTATACAGGGTGTCCCAAAAATGTCTCGTAATACGGAAATGTGGGGTAGCTGGGGACATTCTAAGTAACTTTTTCCTTTGCGAAAATGCAATCTGCGGCTTTGTTTACGAGTTATTAACGAAAAATCACAATTGCGTCGAGTTAATTAGGCTGGCGTGTGACGTCGTGTCGCCGCGAAGAATGCAACAACAATTTTTTTCCCCGAGCATGTCAAAAACCGCTGCTCCTTTACGAATCATGGGCGCGATCCCAAGCACGAAATTAAACATGGAATTGAGAGCGAAATTGAGTGCGAAATTGAGAGCGGAATTGAGAGCGATCTAAGCACGATTTCAAACGCG